TTAAATTTCATTTCATTTCTATTACCTGAGTTCCCAAGGTCTTCCAATTCTGCCTGCTTGGTATTCCAACCCTTCTCAGTACTGGTCATGTCTTCCAGCTCCCTGCTATCAAGTTTCACTACCACACTTCTAATTTGGGGCTAAAAAAATCAGAGAAAGGTAAGTGCCAACAAGGGGAAATGCAGTGAAGAAATGTGAAGAGCCAGCCCAAATGACAAAAAACATCAGTGGCAAAACTGGAACAATACAAATCCCCCAGTTCCTAATCCTGTATTTGTTTTGTCACCTAACACTGCACTTCTGATCAGGTGTGAGGAGGAATTTGCAGGGTCAGAAAGGTGATGTCCATTAATAGCTGACAAAATTGTCCCCTCAGTAGTTTGTGTCAGAAGTCTATAGCATCTATCTAATCTGGTTGGTGGTTGATAACCATCTTCAGCATGAATAGTTATGTGTAACTGTTTCTCCCCAGTAAGTCTGAGCAACATATACACACAGATGATTACATTGCATGCCTTGCTTCTTAGGCTTGCACAGTCTCAAAGCATCTCCAGGCATAGAATGCATGGGGGTTTTAACATGATAGCCTGAACTGAAACTCTGTAAGCAATAAAATTTAGAGAAACAGCTTAGTTAATGCTCAGAACGTGGTCTGGCAGCCTGCCATGCATAAACATGCACTGAAACCAGAGTTCATGCCAAGATTCTTAGCTTTCAACTTCATAGAAATTCCTTGTGTGGTTTATACTAGATCCTCTTAGTTAATTTAACTTTTTTCTTCCTTTTTGCAGTTTAATCCATAGCTAGCTGAACTTATTACCTCTTTATATATCAACATTAATAATGTAATAGACATAACTCCAAGTAGAAGTAATAGAATTAGTCCGTTCATATAATTTTGATTAAGGACAGATCTAACGTTAAAATGACATTTATTCTGTGCCTTCTGTGCCAAGCCTCTATGAACACAATGAGGTCCTGCAGTGTGACCTGTTACAATAACAGGTATGTCTATTCCCAAACAATAAATGCTTCCTAAAGCTCATAAGAATTCACTTCACATTCAGATATCAAATCTATTCTGAAGCTCCTCTCAAGCCAAAAGATCCCTCTCAACAGGTTTGATCAAAAGAGCGAGGCCTTCATAGTTGGGTTCACGGTATCAGAAGGTCTAATTTAACTTTCATAATCCAGATGTCTGCTTCTCCAAGCCTCATATCTGCACAAGGGAAATAGCTGGAGGTCCTCTCTAGAGAATGCACCTTGCTTACTTTTTTCTTTTTCCAGTAATAATCGCATTGATTTAGTTTATATTTTATAGAAACTTACTAGTCAGTTGCTTAAGTATGTACCAAGCCACATTCAATATATGGATTAGGTGAATAATAAATTCCATATTAACACAGATTCTGAGCTCCTTCCTTTCTTAGTTCTTATACAGCTTCAATATACAGTTGTGAGGAAGAAAAAATACTATTATCCCCAGCTATAAAATGCAACTTAAGACACAGTTAAGATATTTTCTTGTATCACACAAAGTCCATGGCAGACAAGGTAAAAGGGGTGAAAGCCAGACAGGAATAACAGGCTCAGATTGCACTTTAAACTTATTAATACCACAGAAATTACACCATTATTGATGCTGGGCAGATGTAAAATACACAAGATTTTCAACAGCAAATGTTTCGCAACAGATCAGTCACATTGATCTTTATTTACAGCTGTTTGGTTTTATATGGAGAGTTTAATCAACAAATTGTGTTCAAATCACATTAAAAGATTGTGTTGTAAACATTTTACAACACAAATTTGTCTGCTATTTTAGACACATCCCCTGAGGCCTTTGGAAAATGATGACACATTTCACACTATTGAATTCAGTCACATTTAAAAACTTAACATGATTCTGTTGCTGTAATGCAGATTTCAAATTAGGTGTACTTCTGTGCTCCCTTTTCACAGAAAATTAGTGACTGCTGAGACAATAAGTGCAACTACCATGCTGCCTTTGCCCAAAAGAAATATGGATCATACTAAAAAAAAAAACCAAACAATCAATAGCTTCTCCTCAAATTAAGCCATATTGGCCCATAGCTCAATAAGACTGACCAACCAATTGATTTTGAAAAGAATAACTGAAAAAGTTAAGAAAAGCTTGATGCAAAATTTTATATTCAATTACACATCATCTGGGTAAGCAACTCACCCAGTACTGCAATATTATGACAGATTTATACGCACATCTGTGAGTGCAGATGTTTGTGCTGATGCACGTAAAGTGGCCGCACCCAAACGCGTCCAATCTCAGCTCCACACCCTCAGTGCTTCCCCCCACCATAGAGAAGGGCACAGTCATGTAAATATTTGTGCAAATATGTTTATATTACATGACATAAATTTCAGAGAGCAGCTAAGAGAAACTGTGCTAATTACTGCTACCTTGCCTCTGCTGATTTACGAGGTACAAAGCAGGGCTTCTGCCCTGGAGTAACTGCAGTGCCAGATCCAAAAAAGTTTTAACTGCAACACCACTTCTGTACTCCAGCCTCCTGAGAGGCCTACGCTGAGAACCTCATGTAGACATGATGTCTATAAAATTAATTTATTAGTTTGGCAATGAGAGGAAGAGGGAAGACAATTTTCCTAGAAATCAACGCTTTTCCATGAAATACTGGTCTGGTCCATCCACAGCAATTAATACTGTAATGATACATCCCATCAGGCAGCCTTTTAAGAAATGTTTTAACAAATATTTTAACATTCTATCCCCAACAGCAAAGCCATGAAGCAAGGACCAGATTTCTTCTAAGCACATCTCTGCATGCAAGAAGTGTGCTGTCACTGCTACACCTGCTATGCTGGCAGCAACTCTACCTATGCATGTCTTCATCTGCAGACACACAGCCTCTCATGGAAGATTATGATCCAGTAAATCAATTTGGTTGAAGACAAATAATTAAAAGCTTAATTACCTATGTAAGCTTTTTATATTTTCTTTTCTGAAAAGGCTTAGTAGGAGATGATTAGTAGTCTCTTTGTTAATTTGCTCCATAAAAGGTTTCATGAACATTCACATGTAACACGCTAGTTTTGAAGTAACTTTATACTATTTGTTTTTGCTTGGCAGACCATTGGTTAAGGTTGGTTTTACTTTTCCATAGAATGACTCTTCCTATATAGAAGAGTTTTAAGGTTTTATGGGGTTTTTTAGCATTTTCAGAAGGTCTAAAAAAGCATTCTTGGCCGGGAAATCTCAAAATATTAGAGGTATTCTTGATGAATATTTTGCACAGAAAGAGGAATAGTTTCTCTGGACTTGTGAGACTGTGTCTTGGGAAAGGGGACAAGAACAGAAGTTGCAAGATTCCAGTTTTACAAAGAAAAGAAAGAGGGAACTGGAAAACAAAAATTATATAAAGAGGGAAGCTGAAAACATAAAAATTACATAAATTTAAATAAAACCTTTAAGCCTTGTGATTAACATGAGGCCTCCATTTAGGAGACTGCTGAAAGATTGCTCGCTACAAATCTGTCTCTAGTTAGAAGTGTTTTCAGATTCGTGTGTCAGCTCTTCATTCAATTTACCATTTTCAAATACTGTTCAATTCTCACGTCAAGCGGGATGTAGAAATTAACGAGTGAAATCCTTAACCTCTGTTCCCCAGAAGACTAAACGAGATATTAACAAAGATTCCCCTGAAGTCTGGTAAAATTAATGTCTACTGTGGAATCCCCTCTTCTGTATGGGAACTCAGCAGTCCCAGTAGGTGGATGTGATCGGTGACTGCACGTGAAGACACGCTCCACGACAGCTGTTAATTGATACCATTGCTAAGGCCAGACTGTTTTGCTGAGAGTGAGTCCAAGCAGAATTTCTTACACAAAGATGACCAAAACTACAGAAAAACACAAGGAGAATAAGCTAAGCAGAAACATGCCACATTTAACTGCAACACTTGTACTTCCCCTTTGCAAAGTCAGATACAATTTTAGGATCACAGAGACAAAAGCAGAGCATCAAAGTTTGACTTGTTAATATTCTATAAAAGACCAGGATTCCTAAATAAACAAATTCTTACAGAAGGGTACTACCAGAACTGCTAGCTAGCTCCAGTCTTTCCTAGAATCTCACTGTGGCCATGGTGCACAAATGCCAGACAATAAAGAACATTTAACCTCATTGTGGTCATGATCAACATCAACAGTAAAGCTTCCATCACACAGTCTTGGGCAGACTGAAGAAGGGCTTTCTGTGTGTGCTTCAAAAAAAGCTTTTTCAGTGTACAAACAGCAAAAGGAAAAGGAACTACCTAAATATTACTTTTATTTTTAAAAAGTTGAATTTTCCTTTCTGCTGTCATTGAATTAATACACATTGTATTCAAACTAAGGGAAGTCTAGAATTTATTTTGAGCTTAAGAAATTAATTTGTTTTATACAGATAACACATGATAATACATCTTGAAGATATCCCCTTTTTCCAGACAACAGAGAAAAAAAGAAAAAAAAAAAGAGCCAAAGCACTTCTTCCTCCAACACTACACCAGCCTCAAAGATCTCTACAAGCAGAACTGACAATAAAATCCTTTCCACAAAAACTACAGGCACAAAAAGCTTCGCTGTTTACCACCTTGTGGCTTGAACTGGTAAGTATTCCTTCTTACACACACACACCATTCCATCATTTTTCAGTTAAACAGACTCTTAAGCAGCAAGCACCGAAACTTCACTCAAAGTTCCTCCCTAGAGGTAAATCGAAGACCAAAGGAACAGTGAGATTGACACGGAGCCCAGGCTGCTCCAATCGACGGGGTAAATCAAGAAAGCCAGGACTGTCTGTCCAGCTCCCAGACAGCTCTGAACATCCTTCACACAGGCAGCAACCGGTTGCCCAAGCTGCAATTCTCTTCTACCCACAGCTCTTCGCAGCCAGCAGCCCCCTGGAAAGGATGCTACGGTCAACAGAACAAGAAACACGCGGTAAAGGGAGAAGTACTTACATCCCGAAATTTGTTCCAGTACTTGTCTTTATCATACTGTGAAACGGTGCTCAGCCATTTGTCGTTGTCCAGAAAACTGCCATGATTGCTGTTACTCGTGATGATTTCAGGGTGCCGGCTTTCCACTTGCAGGAAGCACCAGGCAGCGATCACCAGCACCCCCGACATCTGCAACGAGAGGAGAGGAGCGGAGCGGAGAGCGGAGCGGAGAGCGGAGCGCAGAGGGGCAGCAGCGGCTCCTCGGCCACGGAAGTTTTGAGGGGTCCCAAGTTGGGGCCACTCGCCCCTCGCGGCCCTCGCCAACTTCTGGCTGCGGAGCTGCCGGCTCTGCCGAGACCCGCCGCGCCCGCCCAGCCTGGAGGGGCGGGGAACAGCATCAATAACAACAATAATAACAACAACAACAAAACCAAAACGGGCCACTGGGGCCGGGCGGGGAGCAGCCGGGAGACAGCAGCACGGCGGTACGGAACCGCAGCCAAGCCCCCCGCGGGCGCAGCCAGCGCTGGCTCCGCGAAGTTTGGCTGCCAGGGCGGAGAGGAAGCTNGCCGGGCCCGGCCGGGCCGAGCGAGCCCTGAGGCGGCGGGAGCGTGGGACTGGAACCGCGCAGGAAGAGTTTAAATACCGCAAAGGCGGCTGCCGATGGGAGGGTGGTGGATTCTTTTCGGTGGTGCCCAGAGGCAGGACAAGGAGCAATGGCCATAAATTAAACGCAAGTTTCACCTGAAAATGAAAGAACTTGACGGGGAGGGTGCCTGGAACGGGCTGCCCAGGGAGTGTCCCTGTGTGGAGACATTCAAAACTCATCTGGACACGTTCCTGTGTCACCTGCTCCAAATGACCCTGCCCTGGCATTAGAGTTGGACTGCGTGATCTCCAGAGGTCGCTTCCAATCCAAACAATTGGGTGATTTGGTGAGACCTGGGGAAGGTGTCTGAGGATACCTGGAGAGGGTGCCTGTGATCATATCTGGGCACGATCTCTTGGGAGAAATCGTCAGTGAAGTCTTCACTACCACTGCAGTCTGAAGAGACATTAAAGTGACCTTAAAAACATAAAACCTCCATCAAACCCAGCTTTCATAAGCCCTGGGAAGAGTAAGACTGTCTTGAATCAATGGTTTTACAATTTACAGAAGCAGTGACATTTCCAAAGCCCAGAGGTCATTCCGGGTTTCTTCAGAGGAGCTCCCTCCCTGGGTCAGCGCATCCCACGCTGGGAAGGTTTTGCTCCTGCACTGGGGAATGGCATCAGACACTGCCCAGGTCATCAGAGAGGTGTAGTGAGAACCAGCTCCTGTTGTTAAAAAGGGGCAGGAAACATACAAGGGGAGCTACATCAGTCTGGGAGTTGGGGTGAAAGAAGGAGACCTTCTCCAGAGATAAGGTTCTCCAGAGATAAAAAAGAAAGTTCTCCATTATCAGTGGAGGAGGTGGGAGGAAGGGGCTGACTGGTTTCCTACATCAGGGAACTCATCCCCTGATATATCATATGATGCCCAAAAATGAGGACATATACTTTTGATGGTCATTTTAAATACAGCTGTGACTACTGTTGCATATGACATTTTTCAAATATGGTTCATTAAACTGTCTTGTAAATAATGTGTTTTCTCTCCAAAAAACTGTCAACGAGGTTAATTCCACATTTCCTGACAGATACATTAGGCATTTCTTTAGTTATACGGGAAAGGGTCATGTTTATTTCTTTTTTTACTGCTGCATATGAGCACTGAATGCAGCATACAGATCTGTTCCTAAATCTGATTTTAAATACAGTTCCCAAATATGATGTTACCTCAATAAAATCCTCTGGGATTTAAAAAAGCTGTGAAGTTTTATTAATTTTAACAACAGAGAACAAACACATGCACGTAAGTGCCCCGCATTGAATCCTCCCCTTGGTGCACATAGAAACTAATGAAAACTACATGCCTGCAGGAGTGCAAAATATAACCCAATAAAAGCAGCAAATAGAAGAAATCCAAACTGAAGCCCTGCAGATTTGGATGTAAATCCTTACCTAAAAGCCTTGCTCTGCCCTCCCTTCTACAATGGACTGTACTGTTTTGCTGAAGGTGGCCCAGGGCACATATTCCTCTCAAATCTCTCTCTGTTGTGCACCAGCCATCCTAAAAACTGTTTGTTTCAGTAGGAGATAAGGTTTATATAACTACCACCTGGCAGGGTCAACACAAGCTTCCTCCCTTCTTACTTAGATTAACGGGGTACTGTTCAGTTTATTCTGTATAGGCCTTTTCTGTAAGGCTTTTAACAATAGAGAATTTGTCTCTTCTGCACAGATATTAAAGGTCTTTCACCATTTTAAATCTGATGGTTAAGAGATTTCCCCTGTGACCTTACAGAAATCCATGACCAGTCAGCTTTACAGAGTTCCATTTGGCTCGTGTTTCACCCCAGCTACCGCTGAATTTCAGCACCACCAGGCACAAACCCCATTACCTGCTAAATATTTGAGGACTTTTATGCACCATGACAGTTTTGCATAGATGCAATAATTACTGCTTTCTTGATCCCACTGGAGATACGACCAATTCAGTTCTTCCCTGACCAATTCTTCAACTCATGAAATCCTAGGCTTGGCTGGTAAAAAGCAGCAGAACATTGTTTTCCCCCAACCCTGCAGGAGTTCTACCCATTATATATTTATAGGAGCAGTTAGTTCACCCCTGTAAAACACACTTGTTAGCACAGTGAACCAGGCTCAGTCCTTTGGTGACCTCAGTATGTTGACTTCACCGAGTATGAAATCGGCTGCTCTGCTCGCCAGTCAAAGACCTGAATGATAAATTACAGAAACATTGTCTATAAAGTGAGTAATTACTTTCTTACGTGTAGAATTTGTGTCAGAAATGTGTCTTCATTTATTTAATTACTTCATAATCCCATATTCAACACAGGGCTAATCTTTCTTGATCCTATAAAACACAGCCTTCCTGTTTAAGCCTGATAGCAATCTCTATCACTCAGCAAATGCAGCGTTTCACCTCCACACTGTTTATCATCCATGACTAGAATTGAAACACCCTTGTCAGCTGGTTTTTATTTTGGAACAGTTCTATAGATGCCTCTAATTCTCATCCAAAAATACAATATTGCAGATCTCCCTGTTGTGGATGACTCAAGTATTTGGTATTTTGGATGTTAACAGCTCCTTTGTTCCAAGTTAGAAGAAATGCTGAAGAGGTGAAAACATTTCTTTTCTTCTTTTGTTTTTCCTCTTTTCTTCTTACAGCTGTATAAAGTGCCACAGTATTGATTTTGGATATTATTTGATAATTCAACTGTAGAAGTCTTTTTATCAGAAGTTGTATTAACAACCATACCCTGCCAGCTTCTCTGTGCTGTGGCCTGTCCAGGTTTGTTCTGGAAGCAGAGCCCTCTGGTGCAGAAAGCGTTTCACACACAGGAATTAAGGGACAGATCTTGACTAAGACTAAACTGCTCATGCAGAGGAATGTCTTAGTTCTTTTAATAGGGCACTTTGGAACTCTTAGTTAACAAACAGAACCTTCAGCACCAGCCTTGTTGGCAGCAGAAACACAAACCAAGGATGAATGGAAAACCAAGTCAGGCACTCCTGCTTTCCCTGAAACTCCCCTCACATGGTCTCACATCAGATACATCAGTATCCAGCAGCTGTGTACCCAGCAAGGTAAAGTCTGTAGCAATAGCACAAAAACCTTAGCATGTGCAGGATTTTACTTCCCCCATTTATATTTGGCAGCAAGATTCACTTTTTCACCACCTTGATTGCTTCCATAGTTCATGAGGCAGAGGCTGCAGCCCTTGTAGTGGCACCTAAAAGCTTCTGTGGACTTTTATTCATGGTTTTCCCACTCCTCTTGTGAGCCACAATTCCACTCGCCTTTTTTTTTTTAAAAAAAAAACATTCACTGAGGAAAGAAAATCTTTAGAGTGACAAATGTTTAAAGTGTATTTCTTTACTGTACCAGAAACCTTCTCGATTGGATTAGGAAAATTCAGCACTGGTAATTTAAATGGATTTTAAAATACATCACTACAAAGGTGCATGCAGTGGGACAGACCTTTATTTAACAACCTTTTGTATCTTCCATATATTGCTGTATCCTCTTAACAGACAGGAGTTTTATTTCCTCCTGTGAGTCTCAGAACAGCAGTTTCAGCTTTGTTAGCTCTGCTGGGCAATTGTGCAGAAAAAAAACCCAACTAGTTTAACCTGTGCAATAGGTGATCAGTGGCTTATACAAAGTTCCTGAGACATTTGTTCATTTTACAACTGGCCGTAATTCTTCCTTAAAAATACTACAAATGCAGGTTCTGATTTGACCTCTTTATTTGCCTCTGCTCCTGGCCTCTGCTCCCTGTGCCAGCCCTGTTTTATTGCAACAGTGCCTGGAATTTTGCAAGAATTTGCTAAATGCTTGACACCAGAGGTGCTTCGACTATGTCCCATGGCAGGAGAGTTACAGATTTCTAGCAAGCAAAGCTACTTTGGCAACACTGCAGTTAGTGCAATCCCCCATGTTCTCATCCTTCTGAAGCACTTAACCCCAGTGTCAGTGATTTCACTGAAAGAGAAAACATCCAGTGACCTGGAAATATCATCATGTTCTGCAATCTATTTGCTGGTGTTAGTTGTAATAACCCAGATTAAAGTGAGTTGAAATAATGGCAAAAAATTTGAAGGTGTAAGTCTTTCTCAAGTTGTAAATCTGTCTTGCCTTCGTCTGTCTAGAAGTGAGAAGAGAAAAATAAGTTTAAAATTGAAAAGACTTGTGTTCACATAAAATGTATAAACAAATACAAGGTTACACTTAAACTGAAAAATGAGATTGAGGCAGGTAGGAATTCACAGTGTTTAACTTGTGTCTTCTGAGGCTAATCCTCAATTTCCCCTGCCATCAGGAAAAAGAAACAAGTCTTTCTGAATGATGCCTTAGAATTGAAGTCTGTCCTGGCCACTGTGGATTGTTCTGTGAAGGATGCTATCAACAAAGAGCCTACAAAACCAGAGGCACACTAGGTGTAAGGTAGGCCTTGTGATTGCTGTCCTCAGGACCCATAGAGTAACTTAAAAAATTACTTAACTGACATGAATCAGTCTTTTTGGGTCACATCAGAACATTCATCAATTTAAAGACTAAGTATTTAATGGAAAGATAATCCCTGCATATTTGACAAATGGTTTCAATTTTTTATCTTTCTAGTGTGGGTGGTGATCACGACAAAAGTAATTTTATAGTATTTCACAAAGTCCCTTGTAAAATGGCAACTGTATTTTATAGTGGCTTTTATTACTAC